TCATTAAAATGGCTAATGTTGGAGCTGGAGAGGTCTTAATCGAATTGGCTGCTCTTGCAAAGTTCTTGGTTTATTTCCCATCACCCACATGGCGGCTCGAAACCATCTGTAATTTCAGATTGATACTCTCTTCTGGTCTCCAAGGGCACCAGGCACATAAGTGCTGTGAGGACATAATGTAGGTAAAACACCAATACATATTTTTTAAAAATGTTAAGGGTTCGTGCTTAAATGATGGATCAAATGTTGGTGGTACAAGTGGAACTGTTGGGCACTGCTGTTGAGGACATAAAATGATCCAGCCAGGAAAGTAGTTTACTAGTTTCCTGAAACCTGAAACATCATCTAGCTATTTCACCCACGTGATCATACACCAGTTTTTATGCAAGATGCTCAGTATTATTTATAGTAGCCACAGACCACATAGCCCATTCTATGAAGGGCATGCAGTTCTTAAGAGGAATGAATTCCTGATAGCACAAATGAGTCCAAGCATGCTAAGAGAAAGGAGCCATACATAAAAGACTGCACATGGTCTCATTTATGTAGAAATCAAAAGAGATGATGGGGGCTGGTGAGATGTCTTGGTGGCTAAGAGTACTGCATTTGCCCAGGACCTGGGTTTGGTTTCCCGCTATGTGATGGCTCGCAATTGTCTGCAAGCTCGTTCCAGGGGCTCCAGTACCTTCTGACCGGCTCAGGTACCAGATACACACATAATAAGTATCTAAATCTTTAAACAGGAGTACGTTGAGTAGAAACCAGCCAGTCACACTGCTGCCTCTGCTCTAAGCAAGAGAGGCTCAGTGGCTTAGGAGGGAAACGTTGCTGAGGGTTGTCCTTATACTGACCTCTTAACTGTACTTGTTTGGTACTGACTTTGTACCTGATGCTTTGGTACTGACTTTGACTCTTCCATATGTTTTACCAAAAGGAGGCTAATGACCTGAAAAAGGACATTAATTGCCTTAAGCAAAATAGAACCTCGCATGTGGAGCATTTGACCCATCTGATAACTCCCAAGTTCTGGCTAGTTACGTTACTAGGACTTGGAGCAGCTTGATGTATATTACTGTGGACCCAATGCCCTTCTCTAATATGCCTAGGGTGGTGGTTCTTACCAATGAGGTCTTTGGGAGATAGTTAGGGCTAGGTGAGGTCATGAGGATGAAGCCTTCCTGGTGGGATTAGCGGCCTTCAGAAGAGATGCCAGAGAGCTTGCTTTCCCATCCCTGCCCCATGCATACATGAAAAAGAGGTCCTGGGTGCATAGGCCAGATGGTGGTCCCTACAAGCCACCTTGGTTTTGAACCTTCATTCTCCAGAACAGTGAGAAAGAAGCTTCTGTTCTTTATGAGCCACTGTCTCTGTGCTATCTTGGCGGCCTCAGCAGGTGAAGAAATGAAATAGAGACTGGCCTGCATAATAAAACTCAGGGTGGCGGTCCACTTCTGGGAACACCACCAGCTCCCTAAGACACCTGCCGGAAGTTGCTGTGGGGAGCATGGTCTCCTTAGACAAAAGCAGAGGAATTAAACCCTTCGTGACAAGCTGAACAAGACAGACCAAGTGAGCACAAAACGGGCCCAGTGTCCATGACAGACTGAGTTCAGATAGTCTGCTTGGCTCCGAATTTCCCGAAAGCAAGAAAGGACGGCTGTGGACATGGCAGCCAGACTTGGTTGAATTACCTCCAGCAGTGGGTCGAGTGGAATCATGTCTGGCCAAAGCAAGCCCCGTGCTCGTGTGGTTACTCTTGGGAGTACTTCAGTGCTGAGTCTAGTGTCTTCCAGGATTGCCCTTTATTTCTGTTTATGGATGCCAGCCTCGGGCTGTGCCATGGCTGTGTGTTAGAAAGTGTTAGAAACAGCTTAGTTCAAGAATGTGGGGAGGTGGGGGGACGCACCTGAGGGAGAAGTCAGAGGCCTTGTCAGACTTTATGAGGTTAGCCCTTTCAGACAGAAGTGACGATAAGGACACAAGGAGCCCTTTTGATACCAAACTTGGTAGCAAAGGAATTCACCTCCCAGAAGCAGCCACATTGTGTCATGAAGGAGGAGACTATGGTGGTCCTTCAAACAAGCCCTTCCTGAGAGCCAGGGAGAGGGCAGTTCTACTGGAGGCAAGTCTGGGTGAACTACTCACTTGGTACTGGGCAAGTAAGGAATAAACACCCGGACAGAAATGGGTGGTGTTACCTCGAGATCTCAACGAAAACTGGGTGTTTCGGTCACTAAGGAGGCGCAGGGCTAGGATCTGTGTAGGGCGCAATGGATGTCTTTCTTTGATCTTCTCAGCCCTCCAACAGCTTTTTATCAGTGTTGAATTGAGATGGGCAAGATGGTGTGTGTTTGGGGGGGGGCTCTGCATAATTTGTCCCTCTCGGGGCCACCCATATGGCTTCCAGGTGACAGCTGCCGCAGACCAGAAGCCCGAGCAGCCCCCCCTCTCCTGGCGCACGGCTTCCTGGGCACATTGTGAAGTCCTTGCGAGACCAGGTGTTAAGGCAGCATCAAGTTGTCACTCTGCCCTGCCCACCAGGAGAGGACCGAGTCGGGCTTGTTACGGAAGTGTTGGCTTCCTTGGAACACCTTCACGGGAAGAATCTGGCTTTGCTCCAGCCAAGGGGACCCTGGTGTCCTAGCAAGAGGAGAAGCAGCAAGGTTGGCAGATGTGTTGAGTGGGTAAAAAAGCGTCACAGCCGGAAGTCCTCACACCACCGTTGCTTTTCTTGTTTGGTTTTGCACGCCACATGGACAGGCGTGGAGAAGGGAAGAGGAATTTTTGGCTCCACGGAGCTCGCTTGTCTCATGTGGCTATGGTTTTTAAGAATTTAACATTCTATTCATGGCCCACATTCAGCTCTCGTTCTTAGTATGCATGTAAGTGTGGAAGTCTGTACTACAGGTGTGCCCCACTTTAAGAAAACAACGGATGTATAGGAAGTCCAAACTAATTTATTAAAGTCTTATGTTCGCGAGGAATGAAGAATTGCCATATGACTTTGAAACAGCAAAGCCTTCAGCACAGTCAGAGTTTACAATACAAGCAAGGCTAGGCAGATGGCTTACTGGGTTAATGGTTGCTGTGAGAGCTGGAGGACCTGAGTTTGAATCCCCAGAACCCATTAAAAGTGGGGTATTGGCTGGGCAGTGGTGGCGCATGCCTTTAATCCCAGCACTCGGGAGGCAGAGGCAGGTGGATCTCTGTGAGTTGTTCAAGGCCAGCCTGGACTACAGAGTGAGTTCCAGGAAAGGCACAATGCTACACAGAGAAACCCTGTCTCGAAAAACAAAAAAACAAAAAAACAAACAAACAAAAAACCCGAAAAACCAAAAAAAAAAAAAAAAAGAAAGTGGGGTATCATGTCATATGTCTATGACCCCAATACTAGCGGACAGAGACAGGAAGATCTGTAGGGGCCTGCTGGCCTAGCTGTCCAGCCAAAATAGTGAGCCTTGGGTTCAGTGGGGGGACTTTGAGACATACGGTGAGAAGCAATGGGAAGATGTGCCAGGCATTCATGTCAGCATCCACACTCCTACAAACAAAATAAACACAAGTGGCTTTGAGGAGGACACTGTCTAAAATGAAGTGTGCTTGGCCTGGTCCGTGTAACCGTGTGCTGGAGAGATGGATCCAATCATCAGAGAGATGGAGGACAGTGAGGAGGTCCCGGCAGAGCCCTCCCTGATCACAGCAAAACAATTCAGTTTGGGAGGAGAGTTTGAGGAACTAAGAAGACTATGGGATGTGGTGGGCACAAGGGACACACAGCTGCTTTTTTTTTTTTTTTTAAACAAGCAAGGGGACCTGGGAACAAGTGGTTCAGAGGTGCGGAGGGGAAGGAATTCAAGGCAGACTGAAATAGTTGAATGAGGATGACAGAAGGAGCCTGTGACGTCACCACATCCGTCACCCAGTTCTTACATAGTGACTCGGTCTGGGTTTTCCCTGTAAGAGCTGGGGTGCGTGCCTCCATCCAGCTGGTCCCTAGAGACAGTATCTTCTTGTACCATGTCACCCCCCAGCTGAGGCAGCCTGGTCTCTTCTTTAAATCTGGCTCCTGCAATAATCTCTAGAAAGCCTTCCTGGACTTGTTCTGCATGCCCAAATAAAACCTTTTCTGGTCCCACCCCATCCCATGGCCTGGGCTTTTCCACACAACTTGGGACACTTCAGATCTTGACTTGAAATTCTCTGAGCCGGTGTCTTCTCTGACCTGCGAGAACTCCACAGCACAGACTGGAGCTTTACAGCTCTTCGGTGTCCAGCAAGTATGAGTGACAAGTATATCCTGGTCACAGTACAAATGCAGCCTCGCATGTGCCCTTGTACATAACTTAGTTTGGCACCTTAAAGAGAAAACTGGGGTGCTTAAAGACAGACAAAGCATTGTAGTGATGCAGATTTGACTTGGGAAAGTGTTCAGTTGGCTCAGGCACTAGGGTAGTCATCTATGAAAACATTTCAGTTCCCTTCAGTAGCAGCACCTATGACAGTTTCCTTTTGAACACAGTGAGTGACTTCCATCTCCACATAGCAAAAGGATTCTCTCATCAAGGAGTTAGAAGGACTTAAGCATACCTCCGTGACATACTTATTTCTTGCTAGACAAATCTGTGGCCACTATGAAGTTGACCAGTATTTGCATGCAGAGGGATTCTGGAAGCAGAAACTTCGGCAGCTTGTCATTGACTTTTCTCCACTCTCTTCACTTCAGGCCCAACAAATCCAAGGAAAAAACCCAGGTTAGGAAAAAAACTACCTGGGTAGAGTGGATCACAACCATAATTCCAGCACCTGGGAGACTGAGGCAGGAGGATTAGCACGTGCTACGTTAAAGACCAGCTGGGACTACATAGCGACCTCTTGGCTAACCTGGGTCATAGACTAAGACCTTGTCTCAAAAAAAAAAAAAAGAAAAGAAAAGAAAAGAAAAAAGAAAGAAAAAGAAAAGATCCACAGAAACAGCCATTAGATTTTAAAGCATTTAACAATCACAGTCAAACAAAAGAGATTTTATTTTAAAAAGAATAAATTTACATACAGTGCATAAGCAAGACAGCTGAAGGCTTCCAAAATAGAAACCTGAAACATATGGTCTGAAATACCACATGCTGTGATTACCCTGGGAAGATGAGCTGTGTATTGGGGCAAGAAAATCCCGTTACCAGGCACAGTGTGGAGGGGTTTTAGTGGCTTCCGTCAAAGGGTATTAGTGTAAGGGTCTTGCCTATGTCTTTTTCCAGCGTATTCGGCTATGGCACACGTCTGAGCAAGTATGACACAAAAATGACAGCTCTTTGGAAAGCAAGTTCTAGATGGATGCTTTGGCCTTGGAGTAGAAGCAAGATGGGAGAAGGGTGTGTTATTCTTCCCGATTCCCGGAGGGGCCAATGTGCCTAAAAGCTTTGGTGTCAAGGTTGGTTCGGCCTAGGTTGACAGTGGACACCTTCTGGTGAGCATGACTGCCCAGATCAAGAGGGCCTGTGGACTGAGACTGGATCTTAACCAGCAGGGGGCACTCTTTCCCCAGAGAGAAAATTCAAGTGTTTCGAGAGGGGACACGAGAGAATTCACTAGGGTGAGGTGCTCTGAGAAGTGAACGAAGTGGATTGAGAGGGATCAAGCAATAGCTTTTAAAACCAGTACTGTAGGAATCCAGAACTAAACTTGGCATCATCTCCAACAAATAACTTCTCCATCCATTTGAGGTTATCAAGTACATCCAAGAGTGGCCGGCCAGTCATGACCACTTCTCAGGCCACTGCTTAATGCTGTGTGGCTAATATACTCATCCTCCATCTAAATTATGTAAACACAACCTTAAATGCACCCAGACAGTGGTCAGCTTCCCCGTTGTTGGGACTAAAACTTCTTAATCACCACGCCCCGCTGCTGTGACAGTAGATGTAACCCTTCTTTTGCAAAGATATGCACGGAGGAAGCCAAGTCTTTTGTCACTAGACTTCAGACAAACCAACTAAAATCATCCTGAGTAAATATTAGCCAGTATTATAAGCTCTCGTTTGGTAGCTGGGAGTGGGGAGAAGGGAGAAAGTGCCCCATCAACAGCTATGCCCTCGAGAGGCTGGCCTAGGTGAGAGAACCTGTAAGCCAGGCCTTGCAGCACCCCAGCCATGGAGCTGAAACACCGTCAGAGCAAAACCAGGCAAATGATGGGTTATTTTGATCCCTGCTCTTAACTCTGATAAATGAGAGAATTGTCAAGTTAAAAGTGGGCACTTTGTGAAGAATATTTGTTATTCTTTTTGTTTGTGTGTTTGTGTCTTCAAGACAGGGTTTCTCTTTGTGGCCCTGGAACTTGATCTGTGGACCAGGCTGGTCTCGAACTCAGAGATCTGCCTGCCTTTGCCTCCTGAGTGCTGGAATTAAAGGCATGTGCCACCATGCCCAGTCCAAGAACTATTCTTGAGAAATTAAAACACTGTGTTCAGTACCAAGGAACATCATTCCAAAATCAGAGAACATCATTCCCAAATCAGAGAATATGTTGCTCTTGGTTTTCACACTGAATGCAAAGGTCTGAACCTTGGTAACTTTTAAGGGGAGTTAATTTTGTCCAGTATGTGTGCATAGTGTGGAGGTGTTAGGATCATGAAACATTGGCTTCAGGGGCACCATCCCTCAAAAGATCGGTAACTCTGCATTTACAGCATCTTTTCAGGATGGGCTGATACCTGATCATGGTTCTGCAGAGGAGTCCAGGGAAGGAGCTCTTTACCGCTGTCATTCTAAAAACCTGCTACATCTAAGGGGGACCATGCTAGGTTTAATGGGTGCTATAATTAATTGGATTATTTTCCCAAAATAGGCTGAAATTGTTCTTGCATGAATGGCCCTTAAAATTGCCAAGAGATAAGAGATGGGAAGATTGAGAGGGAGTCCCTGATTCTGCCTAGCAGGTGAATAATTAAAAAACAAAAACAAAAAACTACAGAACGTAGCTGAGCAATGATGAGGTAACGTTAGGGGTATTTTGGGGAGGGGGATGAGGCAATGTCAGGGCTGCCTAGCCTCTCTTGGTCAGACTTCCAGAGGACAAAGCTCATCCATTCTCGTGCTGATCCAGTGCTTTCTAAGTTTATATGGCTACTTAAACTGCAGGTACCAAAGACCAAGCAAGAGCGAGCAGGAGTCTCAGTGTGTCCTGTTTTCACCTGCGAGGAGGTAGCAGCCCGTCATGTGTGGCTTAGACTAGTGTGTGGCTTAGACTAGTGTGTGGCTTAGACTAGTGTGTGGCTTAGACTAGTGCAGGAACTGAAGCCTGGGATGCTGTAAACTCTGTGCAAGGGGGATCAGCTTCTTGTTTCACTAACAATGCCTGGAGGAGGGGGTGGGCTGGTAGAGAGAGAGCAAGCTCTTCCTGGGGGCCTCTTAGCTCTGCTACTGTCTTACAGTCTCTTCACAGGAAACTGTTCCAGAAGAGTCTCGCCACCCACTCAGGCACAGTTTAGTCTGATTACAGCACAAGACGTCACTCTGCCCAAGGAGTGCCGTTTTCCATGGTGCCACCCTTCCTCCCAAACCCAGTTCCAGGTTGGGGAACGAGACTAGGCATTAGGCAAGGTTGGAACTGAAAAGAAGTGTTCTGCCTTCATATTACCTCAAGTCTGTTGGCCCTCTGGAACCCAGCAGGGCTTGAAGCCTTTCCAAGCCAGGCCACAATTCCTATCCACCCAAGACTGGGTCCTAAGTCCATGTAACAGAAAGGGGAGGGGTTGATTGCCTTACAGACCTCAGGTGTGGTTTCAGGCTGGGGTCAACGGGAGTGCAGATCAAACACATTGCTGGTGCCACTGCAGTAGTTATCTATATGACATCAGCAAAACAAAAATATTACCTAAGATTTCCTTACACAAGAGGGGTTGAGATCGCCCCAACCGACGGCTTTCTCACGTTTTTGCCTTTCACATTAGTGGACTAGGTTCCAACTGTTTGGGGGCTCAGAGCAGTCCCAAAAACCTGTGCAGCATGGGCACAAATGTTGTGGCACAGATGCCAACAGACGTGTAGGTGACAAACTTGTAGGGGACTTCGATCTCCAGCCTTCGCCTGGCCTCCTTGTTCCTCGTCACCACCCTGAACCACGAGAATAACACTTGCAGGGAGAGGTTTTGCACCAGCTGCCGGACCAGGACGATCAGCACGATGCCCACCATAAATTTGGTCACCCCCAAAACCAGCATGTCTGTGGTGAGGGGTGGGATGCTCTGAATCACAGGAAGGGACGGGGTGGGCTTGGACACCAGCTGGAAGAAGTGATTAATCCAGAATCCCAGGGTCACCCCAGCCCCGGCAGCCACGATGGTGGTGGTGTCTGCCCTGGTTGGGCTGTAGTAGTCTGACACAGGGTAGTTGTAGCACAGGAAGAACGGCACGACTATGACACACACCGGGAAGAGGGGGCTGGCGGAGTCCAGCGAGTCGATGAGGGTCCAGGCCGGGTAGGTGAGGGTAATGAGGACTGCGGTGATCAGCACGCCGCCCAGCACATCCTGCCGGAGAAAAGAACAGGGCTTTATTGACACTTGAAATTCAGTCTTCACACTGTTTTATTTTATCGTATGTATTCAAGGAAAATGAAAATCAAAGAATTTGAAGTGAAAACAGGAAATAACATATATAGATAGCCACCATGTTACCTATGTTACATACTTTCTTACAGGAGTGTTTCTGTATTTTAGAATAAATTCTGAATTTTTTTTCTGAGTGGTGATAGTCTTGTAGCTATTGAATCTTACTGTTATATATATCTCAGGTCACAAGAATTGTCATAGTCTTCACAGATGTGACATCATCCTTTCTTGGCAGCACTATGAGGGCACTAAACTCTAGTACTGCGTTTTGAAAGACTGAATATTAAACATTACCAATTGGATGGCCCGTCAGCTCCTTAAACCCTTGTCTAGAATAAAAACCACAGGAGAAGTGCATGCCCAATAAGTACCTGGCAGTTATAGCAAAGGGAATATACCATTTAATATTTTCTTTCTAATATTTAAAATACTCCAATGTTAACTCATAATAAGAGAGATGAATCAAACCATACTGGGGAGAAGTGAAAACTTCAGTTTCTGTAACAGCTGGTATTTGAATGTTTATAGAGATTATATTAATTCCCAAACTGGAGACAACCCCAGATTCTTGAATGGATAAATAACCTGTGGTATATTTATGTCCTGGAATACTTTTCAGCAATTAAAAAGCAGTGAACTACTGATGCATAGTACAGCTCAGATAAAATCTCCAGGAAATACTGCCGAATGGAACAAGTCACCAAGCTTCATGGGTACATACAACATGGTTCTGTTTATATGGCATTTCTAAAAGACAAGACCACAGTGACAGAGAAGAGGGTCAGCTGTTGCCTAGGGGACTTGGGTTATCTGGTGTGACCATAAAGGATGTCAAGAGGCAGTCTGGGGATAATGAAACTATTCTATACTAAGATGGTGATTATAAAAATGTATGTGTGCTACAATTCATAAAACATTAACCAATGGTTACATAATTTTATATGTATGCATGCACACGTGTGGACGCTACAGCAGGCCTGTGGAGGTCAAAGCGAGCTGGGTCCTTCTCCCCTTCTGTGTGGGTCCTGAGGACTGCTCAGGTCATCAGCTTTGGTGGCAAACATCTTCACCTCCTGCACCATCTCGCCAGCCCCAAATTCACAAAATTTCATGCCAACAACAGTCATTCTTTTTAATTAAACATTTCAAACAAATGAAAATGAAAATGAAAATGCTAGTGGGCTCCTTTGTTCCCATCGACTAACCTTGCCACGTGCCAATTGCTACAGCTTAAGAGAGTCCCAGAGACCTGGAGAGGGTCCCTAATTTCATCCTTCTCCCTTCTCAGAGTGTGCTGAGAATCCGCTAGAATCATTACCCAGTTCTTCTGACAGAATTCTGTTAGCTGGGCATGGTGGTGCACGTGTGTGATCTCAGCGTTTGGGAAGTGGAGGCAGGAAGATGCTGAGTTCCAGATCCATTTGGACTGTATAGTGAGACTTTGATTCAAGAAACCGAAGGGCCAGGTGGTGGTGGCACAGGCCTTGAATCCCAGGACCTGGGAGGCAGAGGAGGCGATCTCTGTGATTTTGAGTCCTGCCTGGTCTATAGAGCGAGATCCAAGACAGCCAGGGTTATGCAGAGAAACTCTGTCTCGAAAAGCCAATGCCAAAAAAAAAAAAAAAAAAAAAAAAAAAAAAAAGAAGGAAAACTTAAATCTGTTAATGAAGCTATCTTCCACCCATCCCCTGGATGCAAAATGCTGCATGCTTTCTGGGGAAGGAACTTGTCAGTAGCTTTTAAAAGTATGCATTTAGCCGGGCGGTGGTGGCGCACGCCTTTAATCCCAGCACTCGGGAGGCAGAGGCAGGCGGATCTCTGTGAGTTCGAGGCCAGCCTGGTCTACAGAGTGAGATCCAGGAAAGGCGCAAAGCTACACAGAGAAACCCTGTCTCGAAAAACAAAAAAAAAAAAAAAAAAAAAAAAAAAAGTATGCATTTATAGCGGGGCGGTGGTGGTGGTGGCGGCGGCGGCGGCGGCGGCGGCGGCGGCGGCGGCGGCGGCGGCGGCGGCGGCGGCGGCGGCGGCGGCGGCGGCGGTGGCGCACACCTTTAATCCCAGCACTCGGGAGGCAGAGCCAGGCGAATCTCTGTGAGTTCAAAGCCGGCCTGGTCTACAGAGCGAGTTCCAGGACAGCTAAGGCTAGGACCGATTTGTGGTCTGACCTAGCAGCCTCACCCTGGGACCTAGCCCCGGGGCTGTAACTGCCCACAGCGGAAGTGAGACGTCATGTTCTTTAAGGCAGTGTTGCTGGAAGTAGCTCACCAAGTCTCCCTCTAGTAGCGTCATTCCACTAAACTGTGGAAGAGTCACACCATGGAATCCTATGCAGCTGTGGCAAGGAGAATGCTCTGAGGAGTTTCAAAAGGCAAGATGGGCCCGAGGCTGCCGGGGTCACGAGCAGTGGCAGAACACAGCCGCAGCTCTCTGCTGAGGACATTCAGTCCATCTGGCAACAGGTCCAGATGGAGTCTGCTTTGACTGCGTGAGTAGTGTGCTTAGGCCATCTCGACCTGTCAAGTTCTTAGAGCAAGCGCCTACGGCTCAGCTCTAGAGCCGTGCCTCTCTGTCACGTGTCTCCACAGGTGGCAATGATTTCCCTCCTCCCTAAACTGAAGCTAAAGAACCATACTTCATATACTTTCCCTTTTTTTAGTCTTTGCTGTGATTAGATACTTTCCTTTGGGCCAGAAAGTCAAGGTTGAGCCAAGATTGCTTTCTTATTTGCATTCTTCCTCAAAGCTCCCGGACTAGTGTCCAGACATTCTCTTACAGAGTCAGGAGGCAATAGCGTTCTCATACCAGAATGTCTGGGATATTGGCTACCCATTGTTTCAAAGTAGAACTAAGAATTTACCCTGTTTCCTTCTGTCTTCTTCTGTGATTACAATTACCAAAGTCCCTGACATCTGGTTGGAATAGCCTTTACAAGCTAACTGTGTTCATCTTCAACCCAAACTACATTATTCTGGTCCACATCCCCAGCGTTTCAGGCAAAACTAATTTTAGCCAACATGGCTGATGATGGAGTTTTTCTCCTGCCTCCTAGGCACACACTTGGATTTTCATCAAAAGTGATGCTATAACAAAGATATTTAGGTATTAGTAAGAAAAATACTTGAGCCATAACTAGTGAGAGTTCCAGGTTGGGGACTGTAAATTTCTTATAACAAAATTACTTTTTTTTTTTTTTTTTTGGTTTTTCGAGACAGGGTTTCTCTGTGTAGCTTTGCGCCTTTTCCTGGAACTCACTTGGTAGCCCAGGCTGGCCTCGAACTCACAGAGATCCGCCTGGCTCTGCCTCCCGAGTGCTGGGATTAAAGGCGTGCGCCACCACCGCCCGGCCAAAATTACTTTTTAAATACTTCTAAATAGAAGAATTATAAATGCTCCAAATTTTATTTTTAAATAACTTTTTTTTTTTTTTGAGACAGGGTCTTCTCATTCTGTAGCTCAGGCTGGCCCTAGCACTGGTTCAAAAATAAAAAAACTCAAACAACAACAAAAACCAAACCCAAAACCAAAAAATTCAAAAATACTTCCAGAGATGAAGATAATTAAACTACCGAGCATACTACATTATCTAAACCTGTAGACCTACGATTCTACTCAAGGAGTTTGAAGAAAATGAAGAGAATAAAACGAAAGTTCACATCACTGGGTGCTGGGGAGACAGCTCTGTAGCAGGAATCTTAAAAGGCCTTACTAATAAAATCAAACCTGAGGCCTTGTATTGGGGTAAATGCTGGAAGATCAGAGAAGCAGAACAAGCCGTAGCCACCTTGCCTTGCTAATGCCTCAGTTGATCCTGTTTCCTCAGACTGGAAGCTTCTGAGTCCTCATCCAAATGGATCTCAGCTGAACTGCTTCTCGAAAGCCTGAAGCTTAACCAGCCTAGTTCCTGGTCTTCTTGCCTTATATACCTTTCTGCTTTCTGCCATCACTTCCTGGAATTAAAGGCGTGAGTCACCATGCCTGACTCACAGAGATCCAGACTGATCTCTGCCTCCCAAGTGATAGGATTAAAGGCGTGTGTGCCACCATTTTCTGGCCTCTATGTCTGTCTAGTGGCTGTTCTGTTCTCTGACCCCAGATAAATTTATTAGGGTGCACAATATATTGGGGAACACAATATCACCACACAGCTCAGTTGGTGGGGTGCTTGCCCAACATGCAGAGCCCCCCCAGCATCAGCACAGTATCAACCTAGGACATAGTGCCATACATCTGTCATCCTAGAAAACAGGGCACCCAAGGCAGGAGGGTCAAAAGTTCAAGGTCATCATCAGTCACAGAGTGAGTCCAGTGACAGCTTAGAATATATCAGACTAGGTCTCAGGAAGGAATGAAAAAGGGAAGGATTAGTTTACTCTTAAAGCTGGTTCTTTCTGGGTTATTTCCACTCATGCAGCGAAGACCAAAGGTAACATGATCTAATAGAGAAAAATCAGAAAACACAAGCAAGCAAAATTAGCATAAAGAAAGGGGCATACATCACAGACTCTGAAAAGGCACGAATCTGTGGCTCACACAAAAAATGAGATGTGCTGTGGATGATTGATTGATAAAAAAAACACTGATTGGCCAGTAGCCAGGCAGGAAGTATAGGTGGGACAAAGAGAGAGGAGAAGTCTGGGAAGTGGAAGGCTGAGGGGAGGAGATACCAGCCTGCTGTCCAAGGAGCAGCATGTAAAGGCAGCAGGTAAAGCCATGGAACACGTGGTGACATATAGATGAACAGAAATGGGCTGAGTTTAAGTGTAAGAGCTAGACAGTGTTAGGCCTGAGCTAATGGCTGAACAGTTTAATTAATATGAGCTTCTGAGTGATTATTTTATAAGCGGTTGTGGGGTCTGTGGGGCTGGGCAGGACTGGAGAAAACTCCAGCTACAGAGACGAGCAAACACTGCTTCCTTATT